TCTATAAAATAAACTTGATTTGATAATAGTGATTGCTTTATTACATTTTAAATTGTCCTTATCAGCCAAATTGTATCCTTAGACATCATAGTTTGGTCTTATCTATTTAAAAAAAAATGGGCTTTTCTTGATTTGCAGACATCCCTTCATTCCTTTGTTCTTTCTCCTCTGATTTATCAATTAAAGAATTCAAGCCAGGTGCAGTGGCACATACCTGAAATCCCAGCATTTCTGGAGGCTGAGGCAGGAGGATCGAATATTCAAAGACAGCAATTTAGTGAGGCTATAAGCAACTTAGTGAGACCCTGTCTCAAAATTTAAAAACAATTAAAAAATGTCTGGGGATGTGTCTCAGTGGTTAAGCACACCTGAGTTCAATCACTGGTATCCAAAAACAACAACAACAAAAAAGAGTCAATGAGTCAGGTCTATGGGCTGGGGATGTGGCTCAATCGGTAGTGCGCTTGCCTGGCATGCGTGCGGCCTGGGTTGGATCCTCAGCAACACATGCAAACAAAGATGTTGTGTCTGCCGAAAAATAAAAAAATAAATAAAAATAATTTAAAAAAATTAGTCAGGTCTAATTTCATTTCATGGATAATTAATGAGTGGAAAGGACTACAATTGCATTCTTTAATTCTATCATAAGTATTGGATGGTTCCCTCAAGGAGAATCTGAGCAGTAGAAGGGACTTTTGGTTCTTTATACATTTAAAAATTAAAGCATAATACCAAACAAAGCAAATAAATAGGAGATCAAGAATAATATGCTTATAGAAAGAATTTAGATGGTTTGACCTGTCTCTCTCACAATCTGGATCATTTGACCTGATACAATCTGGATCTGTGAGGTTCATGCTCTTCTGTCCTGTGTATTTCCTGCAAAGATCTGCTAAATTCAGTGGCTTGATGAGACTCAGGTTCAGTTCACAGGTAGGGTGAATTGTTTCATTGGGAGCTCGGGATGTTTACTTTTGCTCTTATTTATTTATTTATTTATTCTAGAGCAATGGTAGGGCTGCTCTTACCACTGAGCTGCACCCCAATCCCTTCTTATTTTTTGAAAGAAGATTCTCATTAAATTGCCTAGGGCTGGAGAACATGCAATTCTCCAGCCTCAGCCTCCTGAGTCAATGGGATTACAGGCATATGCCATCTTGCCTGACTTATTTTTATACTTCTAATATCAGCAAATTACATTGTACAGGATTTTACCTCAATGCTTCTCTGTTGTTCATTATTGTGTGAAGTGCATTTTCCTGAATCTTTGAAAGAAGTGGGCTTTAACCCCTTTTCCGTTATTTTTGTTAGGTTTCAATACATAGCAGCTTTTGATCTGGGACTTCCTGGCTCTGCTTCCTTCCCTCACTTTTACCTGGACCTGCTGTTTCTTATGTCCCAATTTCTTCGCTTCACTGAGCTAGGCCATTCCAGTCTCTTCAATCCCACTGCAGACTCCTTACTTTGTTACATTTTGGAGTGGGCAAACCTCCTCAGGTTTCATGCTTTCCAGCAAATATTTGGGCATTTTACTGTTTTCAGGTCTTCAGTGCAATGGTTTGGATATAGTTTGTCCCTAACATAACTTATGTTGAGGCTTAGTCCCCAAAATAACAGTGTGAGGATGAGGCGAGACCTTTAAGATGTGTTTGGGTCACAAGGGATCTATCCTCTTGGATTAATGCTCTCATGGGAGTTAATTCTCACTCTTGAGGAACTAGATTAGTTACCAGGAGAGTGGACTGTGATACAGTTGGCCACCCCTCATGTTTTGTCTCTTGCATGTGACTGCTTGCCCTTCCACTTTCAGCCATAGTCAAAGTAGTACAAGACCCTTGCCAGATGAGGCTGTTCCATTTTTGGACTTCCCAGCCTCCAGAACCATGAGCCAAAATAAATCTCTCTTTTTAAATGAATTATTTAGTCTCATAAAATGTACTTAAGACTGATAGACACCACTTGTTCCACTCTGCCTTTTCCTGCTCAGATACAAATCCCAGGTAGTCTGGGGCTTTCAGAAATTTGCCCTTATCTGCTTATATTCTTGTGTCATGGAGATATCTTATTTCCTAATTCTGTTGAAAGTCTCTATAGGTTTTTGGTTTGTTGTAGTTCCATTATTTTATTTGAAGATTCAGAGACATTTTAAAACTACTCCATCCCTGCTTACAGCCATCTTTCCAAAATCTCTTTACACACACACACACACACACACACACACACACATTCACTCATTAAGGACTGTTTCAAACAAACACTTATTAACTCATTGTTTTATGGACAATGGTTCAATGAAATGCATAAGCTTTACAGGTGGTGGATGTAGCTCAGTGGTAGAGTGCTTGCTTAGCATGCTCAAGGCCTTGGGTTCAATCCCAAGCACCCCTCCAAAAGTCAAAGGTATAGGCTTTAATTTGTAAGAGATCTCATTTAATTTTCTCTGAGTGATATCTAGAACATATTCTATTATTAAAACACCTGACTTATAGCCCTAATTCAAGTCACTGGGGGAAATCTGAAGAGGACCTCTGCCTGGGTGTGGTATAAGTATTTGGGTCCTTAAGATTGTGTGAGCAGGGCTTAACCTGGGACCTTTAAAAACAGTACAGGACAACTGGAGGTGCAGTTCACTGGCAGAGCACTTGTCTAGCATGCACAAGAACCTGGATTGTTAGATCCCTAGCCCCACAAATTAAAAAAACAAAACAAAATAAAAAACTGGTACAGCCTGAATCAGTAGCTAAGGATATTTCTAAAATGATCTGCTTCTCATTGGGAATAGAGGCTAAATTAAGATTAGGAGTAGAGGAGAATCTAAAGCACGTTTCTTACATTAGCTCAGTCAGAAAATGACTGATACTTGATTCCGTGGAACCCATGTGACACTATTCTGTAATTTCTTTCAAGTTTCTTGATTAAAAAAAAAAAGAAATCTTATACCACTTTGAGAATTTGATCAAACACAAAGACCTTCTTCCCCAGGAAAATGTACATAGTCACAAGAGTTTGCATACAATATTTAGGTTTATGGACTCTCTAATGCCCATCATGGATTCTAAATAAAGAATTCCTGCACTACCATATTTGTCCAAAGCATGTCTTCACATGAATGGTGGGCATTTTCACAATAGAGAACAAGTAAGGTGACCATCTCTTGGGCTGTCATAAGTCTAGCTAGAACTCCAAGCCATACTCCAAAGATTAGTTTGCTCCTATGGAAGGCCAAGCTGACAACTGTGGGTACATAGGCTGGACCTGAAGGCAGGCTCTGTGCTATGGTGGGGAAGGAAAATGCCCAGCCTATTACATAAATATTACATATTTCTGACTGATGAACAGGTGGAGGAGTCCTACTTCTCTTGCTTTTCCAGATTTAGTTTTTAAAATCAATCATGGTGATCTCTCTTGTTTAATTTTGGTACTAGGATTGAACTCAAGGGTGCTCTACCATTGAGCCACATTCCCCATCCTTTTTATTGTGAGATAGGGTTTTGCTAAATTGCCCAGGCAGGTCTTGAACCTGAGATCCTCTTGCCTCAGCATCATCAGTAACTGGGATTACTGGCTTTCAAGGTACTCTTTATCCTCTTTGTTGGTTCAGCATTTCCACTGATGTTAATTCTCAAGGAGGTGAAATGCACACACACAAACTGTACGTAACTCAGGAAGATGCAACTAGGGAGGCAGATGGGCATCAATGACTTAGCGGTGCAGGTCTTGTGCACAAGTCAGAAGCTGCCCAGATTTGTACTGGTCTTTGGTATAAGCCTCCTAATTTATCAAACAATTAAGTCACAGGGTAAGCACATACAGAGGAACACACTGTTTCCAATTTGTTCAGAGGATGGGCTAAAAACACTAGTTTTTGGAATAAATTTGCATAACAGTTTTGTTGAAGTTTTCTTACTTGGTGTCATCGATTGCTCAAAGGGATCAATAATTATATAATTACAACAGTAGACCATTAGATAATATGCTGTAACATATTAACAATTCTTTGAAGAAGCCAAACTTTTCTTTACAAATTCACTTGAGAAGATGGTTGAAATCCTATGGTGTACCAACTGGTGTAGCTAGCAGCTCAGAAAATAATTGCTCCTCGGAGACAATTGATACCACAAGTAAACACTTGATGATTCCTGTCATTTTTCTTGAGGTGTAATTACCTCAACAAAATAAAAAATTCAGACATGTCCACTTTTCCTCTTGAGACTTGTTATTCTAGGGTGCTGTGGTATATACCTGTAAACCCAGCAACTAGGGGGCTGAAGCAGGAGATACGCAAATTCAAGGCCAATCCCAGCAATTTAGCAAAAGCCTGTCTGAAAACTAAAAAAATAATAATTACAAATGTCTGGGGATATAGCTGAGTGGTAAAGCACCTCTGGTTCAATCCCCAGTACCAAAACAAACAAACAAACAAAAAACCCTCCAGAACAACAAAAAAGGGAGAAGAGATTTGTTGTTCTCTATTATTTACAGTACTTGGTGATGTAATCCTAGAAGGGTTTCAACCATTAGTCTGGACTAGACAGAGACTGGTGTGGGCCAAATCTAGCATATTCCCTTTTCTTTTTCTTCTATTTATTTAAATTTTTTTTTAGTAAAATATGCATAGAATTTACCATGTACTGTTTTTTTGCATGTGTGGTAATGGGAATGGACTTAGGGTCTTGTACACTTCTACCACCAGGCTACATTCCTTGCCTGATGTTAACTATTTTTAAGGCCATTGCTCCATGGTATTAATTACATTTACAGTATTGTGTAACCATCACCATTATCCATTTTCAGAACACTTTTCTCACTCCAAACAGAGACTTAGCATCAGTTAAATTATACTCCTTATCACTCCCTCCTTCCTCCTGTAACCTTTGCTCTACTTTCTGGTTCTAGATAGATAGATAGATAAATAAATAAATAATAAATAAAGGTTTTGTGTCCAACTACAAGTAAAAAATAAATATTTTAAAAAGTCATCAAGTCCCTTCATTTTGTAGGTGAAGAAACTGAAATTGATAAGATTACAGCCACTGGCCAGAGATAAAGTGATGATCCTGCCTCAGTTTCCAACAGTAGGGAACAGAACAAAGGAGGGTGGCCAACGGGGTTGCCTCTGAAAGTTTAAAATCAGGAAGCACCAGCATCTGACGGACACGGTAAGTGCCTGAAAGTACAAAATTATAATCACTACAGTGTGTTCTGAGGGGATGGGATCTTGAGCAAAAATAGTATTTTACAGATGAGGAAACAAGCTTTGATTAGAAAAAGGGCCTTAGGGGCATCATGTGGCTGGTAAGAGAGAAGAGTAGAGCAGGTAGACCCTGTCCATGCCATTTCTCTATGGGTACTCCCTGACCTCACAGGGCTGAGCACTGACCTTTCCAGAGGCAGGTAAGAGTGGTGGTCCTGTTGGTAAGAATGCTGTATATCATTGCTGTATCCTGGGGTCTACTCACAGTGCCCTGGCAGGCAGGATCCTCTGTGAGCCCCCTCAGTCCTCCCACCCCCCTCCTCCCCTCTCTCCCTACCAGTCAGTGTCACACAGACATGTTCACTGAGTGGGAGGTTAGAGACCAAGGGGACTGTATTTATCAATGATGTGCTCTTTCCCAATGAAAATTTTTAGAAATTTCTTTGATCTTAAATTCACAATAATGTGTATAGGTGTCAGTTTTCCCACATGTCTCCACTTTAGCCTTTCTGGATCCTCTTAGTTGAGATCTTCCATCTCTTTAATTCTGGGAAATTAATTTCTACTCTGTCTTCAGATATTGTCTCCTCTCCATATACTTCCCTTCTTCTTCTTCTTCTTCTTCTTTTTTTTTTGTGTATGTGTGTGTGATGCTGGGGATAGAACCCAGGGCCTTGTGCATACAAGGCAAGCACTCTACCAACTGAGCTATATCCCCTTCCCCTCTTCTCTTCCTTTTATGAATCCAGTTACTTGGATGTTGAGACTCTTATTTCTATCTTCCATGATTCTCAACTTTTCTTTTTCTTTTTTTTGGTAACAAGGACTGAACCCAGGGGTGCTTAACCACTGAGCAACACCCCATCTCTTTTTGTATTTTATTTAGAGACAGGGTCTTGTCAAGTTGCTTAGGGCCTTGCTAAATTGCTGAGGTCCGCTTTGAACTTTTGATCCTCCTGCCTCAGCCTCTCAAGTTGCTAGGATTACAGGCGTGTGCCACCACACCTTGCTCTTTTATCTTTTCAATGTCTTTGTTCCTTCTTTCCATTAGAATTTCTCAGCTCTATTATTTCCAGTTATTCTTTTCTTAGCTCTATCAATTTTCCCATGTATTTTGTTTTTTATTTCATTATTTATTTTCTATTCCAATTTTTCCATTGAGTCTTCTGTGCGGTTTCTTATTTTGGTGGCATGCCAGTGCTGGTGAGGGTTGGGATGAGAGCAGGACCTGGAGATAAGGGAGGTGGATACATCCTAGGGTAGAAAGTCCCAAGAACGAGAATCTCACCCCAGAAACAAGCTCAGAGCTTTCTCTTATTCCTTCCAGGCAGGGAACTGTGAGCTCTGGGGAGGGGAGCATCCCTTGGAGACCATCCTCCAGACTTAGGGTTTAGTGGGGAAGGTAGAGAGGCAAATCCTGGTTCTGGTCAGTCCCACCTCTTTTCCCCACATTCTCCCCCATCCACCTCTGGCTCTGCACTGATGCTCCTCTTGAACCTGCAGACCCTACATCTGACAAGCCTCAGGCGAGGCAGCAAAAGACCGGTTATCTCAAGCAGCAGCAGGGCTAGACCCTTCTCTGACTTTCTGCTTCCCTGGGCACCTTCTCTCGACCCCACACCCAGGGACTCCACATCCTCAACTAGATCTGTCCCCTCTCTAGACACTGGTGGTGATGCTGGGGAGGGGTCAGGAGGGACAAGTAGGAAACAGAATGTCCCACCCGAAGAGACATTTATAGTTGGCTTTTGTAATCCTTTCTTTTTAACTAAACTTAGATTTTAATTTAACACAATCATTTCTGATACCTAGCTATGTTTTGTCTGCTAAATGCTTGATGTTCAAAGAGTGGTTCTTTGGCCAGTAACCTCAGCATCACCTGGGAGCTTGCTGGAAATGTGGTGACTAGTCCCCACTGCGACCTCCTAAGTCAAAAGCTGCATTTTAATACAGTCTCAGATGATTTGTATGCTCATTACACTTTGAGAAGTCTCTTTCTACAAAATTTGCTTTTATAATTAGGAAATGATAGAGGGCATTGTTGTTTTCTTTTGGTTTTAATGGTAGAATTTCCCCAGTGACTTACCCACCCATATTTCTGGGCTGTCAGGCAAGAAGCTAGAGACTGTTTTTCATAGAATTGCTTTTCCCTGTGCAAGTGCTGGGCTTCAGGGTGAGGACTCATTTTTCCTTTCTCCTTACCACACAGACAAAAATCCTCTTAAAACATTTACTTCTTTTTAAATTTAAATTTAAAGTTTTTGGCATTAGGGATTGAACCCAGGGGCATTTTACCACTAAATTACACTCCCAGATCCTTTTTATTTTCAATTCTGAGACAGGATCTTGCTAAGTTGCTGAGGCTGGCTTTGAACTTTCAATCCTCCTGCCTCAGCCTCCTGAGTCATTGCATCACCATTCCTAGCCAAAATCCTCTTAAAACATGATGTCAGCAATTCTCAAGGAAGAAAAAAACCCATTAAATCAGCAGATTCTTTGATGATGCTGTTTTTATTATCATGGGATTATGGAGACAAATGATTGCTAACATCAGAATGCTTTCTGGGGAGGAAGATAATAAGGAAGAAAGAGGGGGAAAGGGTGAAAACAGAAGTGGTGGCAGGGAGAGAATAAAAAAAGGAAAAGTACCACAGGAAATGACAAGAAGAATTTAAGTAATAAAGCCCACTCACCCATCCTCTCTGGGAGTGTATTCTGTCTTCCACAGGCCGGTGGGCATCTGCATCTGAGCTGACTTACCCTGTCCGCTCCTCTCGGTAGGAATCAAAGGGAAAGTGTTGACACTTGTCCTTCTGAAGTGGCACCCCGTTTCTCCACAGAAAAGCCCTCTTCACCATGGCTGATTTTAGGACTGTCAGCAAAAGAGTCCATTGTAGATAAACTTCCTATTTTCATGTCACCCTGTTTACTTGGTCACTGGCCGAGAAGATACCAGCACTCCAGGTGCTGGGCATCCCCTTACTAGTTTTTCACAAACGTATCCAGTATAGTACTTTGAAGAAATGTGCAAACAAGGCCTCTGGCCTTGAGCTGGGCTTCATAGAGATGTCTACATTTTTTAGATATGTTATAAATGGGCCCATGGTAACAGCTGGCAGGGGGAAGTAAGAAAGGGGAGATGAAGCTCCCCCTTTCTCAGATGTTGTCCTTAAAGAGTTAACTTGCCCAGAACAGTTAAAGAAAAAGCTGCTTTTATGTGAACTTCTGCAGACTGTGAACTTCTGAGCCCCTCCCCTTACATGTTGGGTATAAAACTCTGAAACTCCCTGAACTCGGGGTTCAGGGGATTGATTGATTACAGCAAAGGCTGTACCCTCTGAACCTGGATGCAGCCAAATAAAACTGTTTCCTGCTATCTTTGGTGCCTTGCCTTGTTTTCCCTACAACACTTCTATTTCAGGCATACCCAACTACCTTCTAGTCTACACTGAGACAAGCATGTGGGCTCCCTACACTAGCCTGGACTTTGACTCAGGAACTCCACAAGTCTGAGCCAATTCTTTTCATGTGTAAGGAAACAGGAATGAGGTGTCTCTTTTGCAGAGAACAATATGTGCACAGCCCTAGGCTGCTTCTGGCTTGTGATTTATTCCTTCCTTTTTGACCCTCCTCAGATATTGGCAATCTTTCTATCCATTCTTCTCTTCCTGGATCCAATCTTCAAATGTTGGAGAGGTTTTGGTCCTTGGAACTCTTCTCTGTGGACATGCTCTTCTTGGATAGTATCCTTCATTTCTGTGAATAAAATGGCACCTATAATGCATTTGTTATGAGTTGCCCCCCCACACCCAAAGCTTCTGTGTTAACGTAGTAATGTTCAGAGGTAAAAATGATTGTTAGACCCATCCTAGTTTGAATGGACTGAGTGTTAACTGTAGGCAGATGGAGTAGGGCTAGATGAGGTGGGTGCCTTGCAAGGCTTTAACTTATCTGAGGCTGCTTCCTCTTGCTCTCTGTTTTCTGGCCACCATGAGCAGGGCAGTGTCCTTCTTCCACACCCTTCTATTACGATGTTCTGCTTCATCTTGGGCCCAGAGCAATAGAATCAGCTGACCATGGAATGAACCTCTAAAACTGTGAGCCAAAATGAACTTTTCCTCCTCTAAGTTGTTCTTGTCAGATATTTTGGTCACAGTAACAAAAAGCGGACTAACAGCATTTATAGGGAGTATATTTCCATTTCTAGCCTATATTTCCATTTCTGCACTTCAGAATTAGGTAAATGAAGAGTTTGCCTTTATACACATTAAGTTTGAGATGCTGGTCATTTATACTACAGTCTTCTTGGTTTTCACTTTGATGTACATTAAGTTTGATGGCATCTCAAACTCAATGTCTGCATTATTGAATTCTACCCACTCTCCTAAACTTCTTTTCCTTCCATCTCAGTTGACAACATCAGAACCCAGTTTCCTGAGCCCAGGTGCCATCTTTGACAGCTTTTTCTCCCATATCACCCCCGCCCCACCCACCCTCACTTCTCTCTTAAATCTGTTCACCTCTTTCCTATCTCCATCTCTATACCCTTGTCTAAGCCACTATTCTCCCTTGCCTGAACATGAACACAGGAACTTAGTGGGGACACCAGGGACACCGCAATATCCAAACCATAACATATATATTATAGATACTGATAAAGTTACAGAAATGAAGGCTACTATCAAGGGAGGACAGGTACACAGAGAAGAGTTACAAGGACCATAGGTGAGGTGAGGGAGGATGATGGCTTGGAAAAGAGTGTAGATATGAAGATGGGAGAGAGGTAAACATATTTAAAATAGAAGAGACAGGTGGGGTAGTCTGGAAGAGGAAGCTCTCATCTTGTCCCTTCACTCTTGCCTCCTTATTATCCATCTAGCACCGTCCTGTCAAAACACAAGAGATTGCCTAAAGCCCAGATTAAAGACTTACAAAGATATCTCACTGCACTTACATCAAAACTCA